AGGATATTCAGGGAATGCTCCGAGACAGGGCTGGACATCCAGAAGTGAAAATATTTGTTGTAGCCCAGATGTGATCATTTGCATTGCCATTGCATCCTTGGTCTTCACAAGCTAATGAAGACCAAACGTTTGAAAACTGTTATGTACCTTCAGCTGCAAAAAATGAAGGAAGAGAGCCTGAGGGTAATTGGGGTGATCAATTTTTTGAAGAACATGCTGACTAGTTGTGGTTACAGTACAAAGAAACCATACAATATCGTAACGAGGAAGATACAAATGCGAGTGATTTGAGTGTGGAAGAGGACGAAGTTGTACTTGAAGATGATAAAGAAGAACTAAGGGAGGAAGAAGAAGACGAAGGTTTGGTGGAATTCGATTATGAGATGGAACAGGAGCCTGTAGGTACTGCTGAAGCTGGGAGTGAAAGGGTAAATTTTGACTTCGGATTTGGTGAATCAAATGACCAGCGTGTTCGGGATTTGGATACAGACTATGGGGACTCCAATGCTTTATGAAGCATTCATAGTGAAGATGAGGACGATACAACTTCAAGAAGGAAAGCTTTCAATGATGCTTTTAATGCGGGGACAGTTATGGAGGATCTAGTCTTTAGGATAGGTAACATATTATTTACTTCTTTATTTAAACCTGATTATGTAATTCTGTTTAATGAGGTCTGATATGCATTCACTTTTTTTTTTCCTTCTGCAGGCATGGTATTTGAGTCAGAGAGCATTCTGAAGGCCGTAATCATCGCGCATTCAATTAGAAGCAACTGAGAGATTAAGTTCAAAAAGGATGATGCTCAAAGATTGAGAGCCAAGTGTAAAGGAAATCATCCATGAGTGTTGTATGCTACCAAGGAGCATAGCATGACAAGTTGGGTGATCAAAACATTCATAGAAGAGTATACTTGCCCTATGGTGTGTAAAAACTTTAGAGTGACCTCAACCTATGTAGCAGAGAGGTATTTATCTAATTGGAAGGCTCAACAAAATATGTCAGTTAGTGCATTCATGGAAAGGGTTAAACGGGATGGGTTGGGTGATATCTCAAATTGGCAAGTGTACAGAGCAAATTAGAGGAAGTGTGGTGGACCATTACAAAATATTGTGAGATTATTGTGAGGAGTTGAAAAGGACAAAATATTGGGACAACTGCTTTGGTTGAGGGACATGCCGGAGAATTCAGACAACTGTATATTTGTCTTGGTGCTTTGAAAGATGGTTTCGTTAGGGGCTGTAGAAGGGTAATTGGGGTAGATGGATGATGTTTCAAGACAGAGCATGGTGGGCAGTTGTTAACTGCAGTTTGTGTCGATGCCAACAATGGTATGTATCCGGTGGCATATGCAGTTGTTGAAGTTGAGAATGGGGATAATTGGAGATGATTTTTGGGGCTCTTGAAGTATGATTTGCATATACACAACAGTCATCATTGGACGTTCATTTTCGATAAGCAAAAGGGGTTGACTAATGCAATTGAGTCATTATTTGAGCATTCGGAGCATAGGACGTGCGTTAGACATCTTTATAGCAATTTTAGTAGGTGTTACAAAGGTTTGGCATTGAAGAATTTTTTATGGGATGCAGCCAGAGCCACTACTGTGCCACAGTGGCTTCAACACATGCAACGGATGTTAGACTTGGACCCGACTGCTTATGGTTGGCTTGAACAAAAACCAACTTCTCATTGGAGTAAATCCCACTTCAGAGAGGGGAATCAATGTGACATGCTTCTCAACAATTTATGTGAATCGTTTAATAACATAATTGTGACTGCAAGATAGAAGCTAATTCTAACCATGCTGGAAGATATAAGGATATATTTGATGAAGAGAATTGTAGCCCGTAGGGAATCATGTGATCGGTGGTCAGCAGCGGTAGGACCAAGGATTCAGAAGATTCTGGACAAAAACAGCAAGCTAGCAAGGATGGAATAGGCGGAATACCCAGGCAATGAAAAGTTTCAAGTTCGACACAATGCAGGGATTGAGCAACATGCTGTAGATTTAAAGGCAAGAACTTGTACATGTCGTGGTTGACAATTATCGTAAATTCCTTGTAGCCATGTGATTTCCTCAATTATATCTAGAGGCATGAACGTGATGGAGTTCATTGATGACATCTACAAAAAGGATGCATATATTAGGACATATATACCATCAATTTCCCGAATCACAGGTCCGGACTCATGGCCAACCCCATGTCTGAAACCTCTCAATCCACCAGTGTACACCAAGAGGGCTGGGAGGCCAAAGAAAAATAGAAGAAAAGAGCTAAATGAGGTGGCTTCTTCAAGTCAGCCTAAGAAGTCTCGAATGTAGAAGAGCAGTGCCAATACTTCACAATCAACTACGGGGACAACGGTAGGTCAGGGGAAAAGATCGGGGTTGATAATGACATATAGAAACTGTGATGCAGCAGAACACAATAGGAGACGTTGCAAAGGGGCCCCACCTCCAGCACGCAATTAGGATGAAGCTGTCCACCGATGTTTTGTTAATTTTTTTTGCTTCTGTCTTTTATTTTTCGAACTGTTTTGACATATTGTTGAACTAGTTTTGATCTTTTGAACTACTGGATATAATGTAGTACCTCTGTGAACCTTTTGTTTTTGTACATTTTTTTTGTTAATTGGGAAATGAATTGTGTCTGAGATGTTGTGGTTGAATTGGTGAATGAATTATGATGAGATGCTGTGATAGAATTGGAGTTTTAGTTGCTGCGTAGAAATTGGCTGCACAGAGAAGAAAACAGGGATGTTCTTCGCACATTTTTTTGAAATTTAGGGATGTTTTGCACCAATATAATTTAGGGGTAGGGATGTTTTACGTCAATATACTTTAAAGATAAGAATGTTCATATAAAAAATATTACTACATAGGGATTATCATCACAGGTTAATATGATTCTAAAAAGAGGGAAAAGGACCAATTCATCTTCACCAACTGAGCCAAAATGGGTCGTACACGATTGACACGTAATACGTACAGTAACCACCATTTACACTCGTTCTTCTCAATCTATCCCTTTGTTACACCCTTAATAAGCATAAGCATAAACTGGAAATGATAGCAGCCATGGTGAATCTGTGTAGCCAATTTATCCCTTTGTATATATTTTGTAAATCTTTCCAGCAACCCAAAATGATAGCAGGCATAGTTGTACAATATAATATTCTTCTTTACGACATTTTTTCTTTATTTAATGTAATAATTTCATGTTACCATTAATACTTATGGACTAAATTGAAGGCGGGAAGAAAGGGTTGAATGTGATATGGGGTGGGACGATATTACCCTTGTTGATTTATAGGAAAACAGCGTTTTTTTAATTAATTGACGGAGAAACTGACGAGAGGTGGACGGAAGGACGTTCGTCGCAAAGAAAGGTTGAAATGAGGGCAAAATGCCAAGAAATGGAAGGTAATGATGTTTTCCACAATGAGGTCAATAGGTAGGGACGTTTTGTGCAAATTACCCTTTTCAAGAACCACATTTTTGGTCATGATTTAACTAACAAATCTGTTTAATTTATGAATCAAACCCCTAAATCATTGCAAACTTTTGGGTATGCTTTTCGAACAAAAATCCAACGTAGATCCTCTTTCTTGTTGTCAATGTCTAAATAATCAACTTTTCTTTTTATCCTTTATTATTGGATAGTTGTGATTTAATAATTGATTTAGACGAATCTTCCATTTTTCGTAAAGCTTCAATGATATCCGCAATGGTAAGTAAGAAAATTGATTATTTTTTAAAATGAATATAGAATGGTATTAATGGTTACACACACGTAAAATAGGTTTTTAAGACTTCTTCACATGCATATCAGATTTATAAATGTTGAACCCCAACCTTGAGGGCCCCGCCCGAGCATCGTGGAGGAAGTAAATGGGGCAGAAACTAAAACTGTAGTATTTACATCTTTAGTTCGTTCTGTGTATAAATTGTAAGTAATAAATAATTAGATTTTATTTTTTATAAATTTTGAATCGATCACATTATTTTTTCCGTCGCTCCAATGAATTCATGTGCACATTTAAACCGAAAGATTCAATCGATAGAAGAAGACTATTGTTGTCTTTTTCATTATGTAACTTCCAAAGATAAATTCATGAGAATTAGAAAGGTAAACACAAACATTCAAATCGAAAAACAAAATTGAAAGCTCCTTATCGAAATCAACTGGATCCGTCAATTAAATGATTTAGAATCAAATCAAATTGTTTTAAGGCGGATTGGTTTGGAATTCGGTATTTTAATTCCAGTTTGAAATCAAACCAAATCATTTGAAAAATTAAAAACGAAAAAATGAATATTTTTAGAATAATACTATAGTACCAATAGTATTAGAGAACCAGTTTTGATGGCTAAACTTTGTTGGTTCAATTAAATGAGTAGTGTGATTTTGCATTTAAATGAATATATTAATTAATGTTATGTGGTTGTCACTTAAACCGATGCTTAATGCCAGAGATGATGAATAATATTACTCAATTTTTTAATTTTGTACACCAATAGAACAAGGGTCAAACTTTTTTAAAATTACAATCTTAACCTCCAAATGAAGTTGAAAGTTTTGAAGTTCTAAAATAAATTTTGATTAGTAGAGCTATTGTGACTATATATTAGGTTAATGAGAATGTTGAGGTTAAATCCATTTACCTGAAATCTCCTAAATATTGGAAGTTCCATTTCTCAGTTATTCATCCATGAAATTCTTGTATTTGTTCCCAGCGGGTTCATCCCGTATAATGTCACGTCACTTAGGGATGCATCGGTGAGCATTACTCTTTACCATTATTCACAATATTTCACATAAACAAAATGCAACAAAACAAAATTCTAGTTGGTTAAGCTTACAATTTCACATATACGAATCAAAACTCTCGATTCGGCATCCTCACAACAAGTGCCCCTTCTACTCCACTAGGCAACATTTTAAGCATCTTGCACGACGTTAATAAAGTAAAACCCTGACTTTAAGACCATCGACCTACAATTCATCGTTAACATCATCATCGTAATCCTTAGGACGATCTTCAGTGTGTGAAGAAGATTCTGCCTCTTTAGTTTCGGATTCAGTCTCAGCTTCTTCTACATCATCTTCCTCCTCAACAGTTACATCCGGGCTGATGTTGAGACTCGTTTTCACTGAGCTGTAGATTCGGGAAGCGAAATCCTTCGGATCGCTGAGCATGAAGCCACTCTCCATCAATGCTGTTTGGTACATGAGCTGAGCGGTTTGCTTTACACTTTCATCCTGCACAAAATGCAAAATGACTATTAAGCATCTTTGCCTAAGCCTAATAGAACTATAAAATTTACTTCTAAATAACCTTTTTGTTTCAAAACGTGTTTATTTTCTTACATTCGAGTAAAAAAGTTAATTATTTACACGCAAGTATATTGCCAAAATTTTTGACTTCGTCAACTTAATAAAAAAAATTATATATTCTACAACTTATTTTCGCTTTTAAGTGAACTTTAAAAGCTTAGCTAAATATGCTCCACTCAAAGAATCACAATCACATAACGGATGAGAAAGAGGGCCATACCTCGGGATCTTTTACTACTAGCTCGCAAAGTTGCTTGATGATAGGGTGTCTCGGGTTAATTTCGAGCACCCTCTTGCCACGCATGTACGCCTGCTTGCTTGCATCTGATAAAGTTTGTGACTGCATTATCCTCTCCATGTTCGCACTCCAACCATACTTTGAAGTTACAACTACACATGGGGTATCAGCTAGTCGGTTGCTTATCTTTACATCGTCGATATTCTCACTGGCAAGAGCACCCTTCCACCATTTCGTCAACTCCTTGAATGATTCCTTGAGTTCCTTGTCTTTTGAATCCTTCTCGATTTTCAGTCCTTCCTTGGACACATTCTGGAATTTCTTGTCTTCATAATCCATCAGATATTGCATTAGATATTCATCCACGGGATCTGTAAAGAGAATAACCTGCAAGGATAGTATATATTCAGTTTTATGAAATAGCAAACGAAAACGCTTTAAGAATCCCAACCCTCGAAGGGAAGCCACAAGAAGAGGTTGTTTTTAAGTAGAATGCTAATATGCGAATGCATACCTCGTAATTCTTCTTTGTCAGTCTCTCAAGGAATGGAGATTTCTCTAGTTGTTCTTTGCTAGCTCCAGTTATGTAGAAGATATCCTTCTGTCCTGACTTCATTCTTGAGATGTACTGATCCAGTGAAGTCAATTTACCATCTGACTTTGTTCTGCCAATAGGAGAGCATAATATCTTAGTCTTTCAAGACATTTTATTTCGGAGTTGTAACAAATTATGTTTAAACAAGACATCTTACGTCTCAAATCGTAGAAGTTTGGCCAGGCGATTTCTGTTAGTTGCATCCTCAATGATACCAAGTTTAATAGATTTACCAAATTCGTTCCAGAACTTCATGTATTGACCTTTCTTCTCATTGCTGTCACTGGATTCTTCAATATCTGCAGCATCATTAAGTTTCATGACCAAGACAGGAACCAGTAACAAACACTAATTAGGTTGCCATAGTCTAGAAATAGCACAGATATGAAGATATCAAACTTCTTATTTCCATATGTTTATTTATGCTTGCCACACCTGTCTTGTCTTTATCATTAGATTCATCTGGGTCCTCATCAGCAAGTTTGCGGATCATATCAAGGGCCTTGCGGATAAGTTTCTTCTTGATTGTTTTCAAGCTACTGTGTTGTTGTAACATTTCTCTTGATACATTAAGAGGCAAGGTGTCAGAATCAACAAGTCCCTGATTGCATATGTCAAACAGTAAGATTCAAGTCTTGAGCACCATATCTTCACAATAGTATTGTTTTGTATTTTGGAAAAAACTTAGATTGTACCCTCAAGAAGTTCAGATACTTGGGAAGAAGCTCATCAAACTCATCTGAGATAAAAACCCGTCTGACATATAATTTTAAGTTGGATTTGTTTGAGTTGTAGTAACTCTCGTACAAATCATGAGGAGCCTTAGGTGGTACAAACAACAAAGCCTTGAATTCAACGTCACCTTCTGCAGTGAAGTGACTCCATGCTAGGGGCTTCTCATCACTGAAATCCTGTCGATAGAAATAAGAAGAGTTCATCAAATAATATTAGTGTTCTAACACAATAACAAGTAGACCACAGCAGTTAAGTGAATCCTGCCAAAATACCTTGGCCAGGGAGCGGTAGAATTTCGTGTATTCTTCTTCTGTCACCTCTTTTGGATTCCGTAGCCATATAGCTTTCACATCATTCAAAAGTTCCCACTCGTAAGTAGTTTTCTTAACTGTCTTTGTCTTGGGTTTTTTCTCATCCTCTTCTTTCTCAGCATCTTCTTCCTCCCCTTCCTCATCGGATTTAGTTTCATCTGTTTACATCATTGTGGAGGTGAGAAAATACCATGAACTAGCAAACATGTCAACATTGATAATACGTTCAACTATCAGATGAGTAGTATCAGCAAACAAGCAATAACTATCACAAATCAAGTAAGAAGACTTTTGCAGAAATCACGCATACCTGTGTCATCTTCATCACTGGAATCTTCTTCATCAGCAGGAACCTCCTCATCCACTTCTTTGCTAGCCCAGAGGTATATAGGGAAATTGATGAATTCAGAATATTTCTTCACCAGTTCCTGATATTAGAGGTATGAGGAATAAGAATGTGATACTCGAACAGATAAATTTACAATATAAAGAAACAGATTCATAAAGGAAACAGATCGTCAGATTCGCATATAACAGAAGGAAAAATATTTGGATGCACAATACTGGGAAAAACAGACTGGTAAATCAATTCAATATAAATGGATGAAAGTAGAGAACTCTTATTCGTAATTGAAAAATATGATGAAAAAGTCAAGTCGGGGATGACTCTGTGGTTGAAAACTTAAATTTTGAGAAGTTCATTTATTAAACACAATGTAAGAGAGGAAAACCTTGAAACAAATTCCATCATTCATATCGTAGCGAAAACAGTTCATACTTGACCAAACTTGCAGTTAACTGAGGACTAGCTCTGGATAATTTCCATACCTGCCAGAACACTCATAGCTTTTTCTGGTTGGGCAAGCTTGTTTTAAGTTGAGGTCATGATTGTCATTTTGATAAAAGCTGAAGTCATGGAAAATCAAAAAACACAAAAAATCCAAAAGATACAGAGCATAATTGCAATATGAAAGTTGCAAAAGATTGAAGCTTAGCCTGGATAGGCAGAAGGGGGTGAGATTTAGGAGAAGGGTACTAAAAACTTATAATAGCTCTACAAGAAGGCTTCCAAACCTGAATAATGCTCTCATACTTAAAATTGCAAAAGGAAAATGATATTCATAGGATAAATAAAAAAAAAATTCATGGTCAATGACCACCAAACCATGGCTCTCACAGCTAATCTTCATTGTTAAATTGTTGGTGTGAAACAGATATACAGCAAATACTTAATCACCCAGAAGTCAATTAGCATACAGACCAACCTTTAACAGTTCATACTTGACCAAACTTGCGGCTAAAACAAGCATTACCAAAACCATATCACATTCTTCCGTTCTACTTCAATTTTGGGTTAAGCACTGCCGGAAAGGTGAACCAAATATATTCCTTAACTCTTTCTCTGATCTCCTTTCCAAATGTATTCCTTAACCATTTCTCTTATCTCACTCTCATGGACAAAAACCTCCGCACGAGATCGACGGAACAGTAGATCAAAAGAAAACGTGCATTATTTATGACTTTTAGCACCCGTTTGGTGCACATTTTTAGAAAAAGAATGCATTTTTACTGTTGATGTGATGGAGAATATGTGGTTGAAAAAGAAGGAAAAATTATTGACGTGATAAAAAATATTATTTTATTGAAAAATGTGTGATTAAAAATGAGTAGAAGAATGAGAATGAAAAAAATAATGTGGCTCAAACAGGGCCTTAATAACATTTCGGAAATTAGTAGCTTGATAATTATAGGGATTTGCAGGTAGGGCACAGATAGAAAAACAAAAAAGAAAAAAAAATTAACAACGCTAGTCATAGGTGGGGGACAGCTGATTTAGGGTTATTTTCAACTAGCTAAATCCAATTTCCAGTAACCAAATATTCTTTTTCATATTTTAGATGCAGATAGCACAAAATTGCATTCTTTACCAAGTCCCTGGCACCATTAGTGGAAATAGAGAAAGATAAAGACAAAATTCTGTACAATCCATAGCTTATATTTTTTATTAAAAAAGAATCTGACAAGAAATCATTAAAGTAATAAAAGAACTCAACCCTTATACCTCCCCAAACCACTCTCCCACGTGAAATATTCCACTCTCCTGTCTCCAATTTCCATTCAACACCGATGCACGGGAAATTTTAACTGGTTGTTTAAGCAAATAGAGCAAGAAAGTTTGAGTTATGTGAGGCAAAAGTCAGAATATTTCTGAATGCTTAGAGTTCAATCTTTTTGTACAAGTTGGAATACGCTCACATAGTGTATCTAATTTCATGTACTTTCCATTGGGAAATAACTTCAACTGTTCCATGAAAGCATGGTTATTTATCTAAAAATAACTTAAATCTGAGGCATGAATGTGAATTACGGTTTTCGTGCTGTAAAGCACAGTGGAGAGAAAACTCAATCTCTTTAGGATAATCAGAGCCTGAATTAGAACAACCTTCCAGGCTTAAATATGATAAAACTGAGGACTAGCTCTGGATAATTTCCATACCTGCCAGAACACTCATAGCTTTTTCTGGTTGGGCAAGCTTGTTTTAAGTTGAGGTCATGATTGTCATTTTGATAAAAGCTGAAGTCGTGGAAAATCAAAAAACACAAAAAATCCAAAAGATACAGAGCATAATTGCAATATGAAAGTTGCAAAAGATTAAAGCTTAGCCTGGATAGGCAGAAGGGGGTGAGATTTAGCAGAAGGGTACTAAAAACTAGTTATAATAGCTCTACAAGAAGGCTTCCAAACCTGAATAATGCTCTCATACTTAAAATTGCAAAAGGAAAATGATATTCATAGGATAAATAAAAAAAAAATCATGGTCAATGACCACCAAACCATGGCTCTCACAGCTAATCTTCATTGTTAAATTGTTGGTGTGAAACAGATATACAGCAAATATTTAATCACCCAGAAATCAATTAGCATACAGACCAACCTTTAATTTGAACTCGTCCAAATACTCCTGAGCTCCATCGCTTAGGTGCAGTCTGATTTCAGTTCCACGACCAAGTGGCTCATTCCAAGTGTCCTCTGAAATGGCAAAAGCTCCGTCTGCCTTTGACTCCCATACATGCCTGAAAGCAGTCACATTTTGAACAATTTTTTATGTCATGATCGATCTTCCTTCAAGAAAACAACTGAAACTTTAAAATCCATCAAAAATATGACAAACTCGTAACAGACATACTGTTTATCATCATTATGTTTGCTAATCACTTCAACATAATCAGCAACAAGATATACTGAGTAGAATCCAACACCAAATTGGCCAATAAGGTTAAGGTCTCCACTTGTCTGCATTTTTTCCACAAATGCTGCATATACAACAAATTATCATTGTTATCTTATTAGCAACAGCTAGAAACAAACTACAAGCTTTACCTTGCACAACTAGCATAGTCTCATCTACTCATAACATAGGTACCTGAAGTTCCGGACTTGGCAATGGTTCCCAAATTCTTGATCAAATCCTCCTTTGTCATTCCTATACCTCTATCACGGATAGAGATAATTTTATTTTCTTTATCTAACTTAATCTGCATTTCATCAAGTCATAACTTCAGAGAACAGTCATGTTGCTAAATTTGCAGAATCTCCATGAAAAGGCTCTAGAATTCAAAATTATCACTTGCTTCAACAAACGGTCATCAGATTTTTTAGTATAATTAGTAAATTCATGTAATTATAAACAAATGTACTTAGTAAACTACTGAAGACTTCGAAGATGCAATGATACTGAATTTTGATATTCAAAATGGTATTTGGAACGGTAACTTGATAAATTCACATACTAACCTGGATATCGAGCTTAGTATTGTCACCTTCACCCAAAATTTCCTTATCTGTGAGTGATAGGAATCTAATCTTGTCCAGTGCCTGAATTATCAGCCAGATTTACATTAAAAAAACAGTATTCTTTACACAATCCTCTTAAACAATAACACATAACACCTAAAACGCTTACATCGGAAGCATTTGAGATCAACTCTCTCAAGAAAATATCTTTATTACTGTAAAGTGAGTTTATAATAATATCCATAAGCCGAGACACCTCCGCTTGGAACTCAAACTTCTCCGCATTTGAGCGAAGTGTTCTTCTCGACATTGACTCCGCTTCCCTAAATCAAAACAACAACAAAAATCACACACGCATATATATACAAATTTCTCCACTCATACAAACTAACAAATGAATCAACAAAACCTCTTAGCGACATCAGAATCGGTTGATAATCCATTCGGAACAGCGCCTATCTTTTCTTCCACCTTCGGTGGATCTACCGGTAAATCAGAATCACCGTCTGCATTTGCTTGTAGTTTCCTACCTAAGTAATTTCAAAATCACCTCAATAAGCACAAATTACAACGAATCAATCGTAACCTAAATCACAAAACATCAAAAATAAGCGTAATTAATTAATGCTACCTTGATCTGGAAGGAGAAAGAGAAGGCATAATAGTAATAAAATAGAAGTGATCGTACACTTCCTCATAGTGTAATCTGCAGCGAATTTTCGAGTACGTTGGAATAAAGAGCCGAGTGAGAGTGATCATATACGGTGGGGTTCTATAAACCTAGTTGAGATATGAATCCACTTTGATTGTCCAATTTACCGTTCACCCTGATATTTTAAATTAACGTGTCATAAATTTGTGGGTGGATATACGTGCATATAATTAAATATTTTGTTCGCCAACAAAATTTTGACATATTCCCATTCACAATAAAAGCTATATTTTTCATTGACATGGGTATAAAATATCAAGAGCTACATTTCGAATGTCAAAAATTTTATAAAATGTAGAGAACTCTCATTTTTTGAATGAAATCTCGTTGTAGATAAATGAAGTATCAAGATAGTCATTTTAATATAATTTCTCAAGAAAGCTATTTATTCTTCTCGAAATTCGTGATAAATTGAAAAAAAAAAGATTCATTTTTCATTAAGGGTATAATAAACAATTTAATATTAAATTTGATCATTTTTGTAAAAGTTATCAAAATTATATACTTTTTAATTGACAAGCATGGAATTAGTCATTTTTGTAAATTCTCCATAAATTTAAGATAAAATATTAATTTGAAAAAAAATATATCAATAATTAATTGAATGAACAACGAATTGGACAGCAGGTCTCAACTATTAACTGCCACGGCGTAAAAAAAAACTAACCATCACCGTTCTGTGCTTGCAAATCAGAAACAGTTACAATGCTCCAACTTTGGCTGGTCTATAGTAACTGAGATTTGCTCTCCAACTTATTATTTACTCAATTGATTATTAACACGTCTTTTAAAATTAACATGTGATCTTAAATTTATCCTTATTAACTTCATCATTAACCCACCAAATTGATGGCATATTAATTTAAAATAACGTGTCAATAATTAATTGAGTTGACAACAAATTAGATAGTAAAAATTGGACAGCAGATCTCTCAACTACAATATGTGATAGGACAATTTAAATGCATCTTACATTTAGGGGTTGTTTGAGCCCCATTTTTTCGAAAATTCATTTTTCAAAACTCATTTTCAACTATACATTCCCTAATGAAATAATATTATTACGTAAATTAAAAATATTTTATTAATTTTTAACCACACATTCTTCAAAAATCAATATTCAAAAATGTATTTTTTTCTCACTATTCAAACAAGAGCTTAATGATATTTATTGTTTAATATTTTGTGGGTTGATATTTAGCCTCGTTTAGCTCCCATTAAATTATTATTTATTTTTCTCTATCTTCTTATCAACCACGCATTTTTCAATAAAATAATATTACACGTAAACTCAAAAAAAAAAAATCTTCTTTGTTAATCACACATTTTTTCAAAAAATTATTATTGCTCTCATTATAAAGTAGAATAATGAAGCCAATCCTTGTCAAATGTAACAAGGTCTTCATTTTGAAAAATATGTGGGTGAGTAAGGTTAGTTGACGAATCTCAATGAATTCCACATGCTCAATGTTCATCAATGTCTAAGAGCATCTCAAATGCATGGGTATTGCTATTCGTCTCCACTGGAGCTGAAACCTACATGGCTGCACAATCAACATCCTACGTGGCAAAATATTAAATTTTATTTTTAAACCAAAAATGTAATTCACGTGTTTCCCTAAAAAAAATCCTAACATTTCATCTTCCTAATAACATTAAAGAATGAATCTATAGAATACATCTCAGTTTCTCTCTCTCTCTCACCTTCTCCACCACCGCACTCCGACGACGACAAAAGTTATTAAAGACAAGGCTTGAATTTTCGGTGGCACCATCGACGACGGCACCACCTTCTCCACCACTCTCACCTCCTCCACCACCGCACTCCGACGACGACAAAAGTTATTAAAGACACGGCTTGAATTTTCGGCGGCACCCTCGACGACGGCACCACCTTCTCCACCAAGGCACTCAGTTTGATATGGGTGATGTCCTCATCGATGATAAATCCACTGGTATGCACTCTTAGAAGCCTTTAAATTGCACTATTGTAGACAATTTACATAATTGTCACTTTTTAAAGTACTTATTAATGACTAATTAGATAATTTTTTCTCCCACTGTAGTGTGGTCTACAACCCATTATGAATTTTCAATGTCATATGGTGGATTAACATTGGCGGATTAAGCTATAATCTCCAAATGAATATTTATTTTATTTCGTAGTGATATTAGTCATTAATTATTGTTTCTAATTAATATATTAGTCATCAATTACTACTGTAGATGGTTTTAGTCATTATTTTATGTTTATCTCTACATAGATTATAAAGCGATTGAGATGTTGATTAAAGAAGGCAATACGTTGGATCAAGTGATGAAGAATATGTGAATGAACACGAGTCAAATAAGAAATTGGTCGGTGAAGAGATTATTCAAGCACCTGAGGTTGGGATGACTTTTGAATCACCAGACTACCTTTTTGGGTATTATAAACAATATGGGAAACAAGAAAGCTTTGGAGTTAAAAAGAGAACAACACGATCATTTTGAGATTTGACATTTGTTTGCCAGTCATATTGTCGAGCCGGGAATTCAAAGTTTGTAAAACAAAATTACCTCAATCCTAACCCATTGACGAAATTGGGGTGCAAGGCTAAGGTTAACGCTTCTGTATTAAAAGATGGTAAGTGCAAGATAAATTCTATTAGGCTGCAGCATAATCATGGATTGAGTCCACAGAAATCACGATTTTACTCATCTAATAGAGAAATTAACATACGTGCTAAGAGAAAACTTGAATTAAATAATCGAGCTGGCATTGGATTGGCGAAGAATTATCAATCATTTGTTATGGAAACCGGCGGTCACGATAATGTCTCATTTTTGAAGAAAGATTGTAGAAATTACATTGATAAGAAAAGAAAATTACGACTTGGTGTTGAAAATGCTCTAGCAATCCACAATTATTTTGTTCTGATGCAAGCAAAGAATTCAAACTTCTTTTATATGATGGATGCAAAAGAAACTGGATGATGTTGCAGACTTAGCTGTCACTTCTTATAAGAATTGCACCGTTTTATTGAACATGATGGATGAGTTTCAATCAAAAATAAAGAGAACTGAATCAGCATTAAGGAGTTCTTCGATAAGTACTAATGTCACTACGAGTAATATTGATTGTTGTGATAATGTGGGTGATTTTCGTAAAGCTCCTAGTGAAAGTAGACTTCGTAGTCCCCTTGCCGTTCGAAGACACGGACGTCTACCTAAGAATAGAAGGGTCTCCAATGTAGAGAAATTTGTTTCCAAGAAGAAAATATGTGAAAAAAAAAAATCTAAGAAAAATAAAGAAAAACTTGAGGTATATAATTATATATCATCTTCAGTTGTAGTCAAAAAGTTTTAATTTACTTAAACATGCTAAATTTATTTGCTTTCAATCTAAAGCAATTGAAGAGGATGTTTGTATGCACATTGAGGTCGGCACACAAGATAGTACAAGTATACAGGTAAAATTTGATACTAGCTTCATAGTATTCAATTTTTTTACTACTTTGATGATATTTTTTAAGAATTTAATTCACTTTATTGGTTTTAGAGCCGGGAACACAAGTATATATACCTTACAATTTTCAAGTTAATGAAATGGCGAGATTCCAGCAACACATTCCTTACTTTCATCACTTATCATCTTGTGCTTCAAGGCCTCCAGTTTTACCTAATTCTATACTCAATACACAAGGTAAGAAAAGTTCGTTATGTACTATTATTTGATTATTTCATGTCTATGTTAATATATTTCTTTGTTCTTAATTTTTTGGATGTATTAGGTCCTGTCATGCATTACTATGATCCATATATGCAGAATGAAGATATTACTAATTTGTAATTTTGATTCAGGTAATGGTAATTTACCACTTATATGAATCGTCAATATTTTATACTCAATTTATACTAATGTATTTTTAATTTTACAAATGACAGGACAAGCCTTTAGAAGTGGATGATTTGGTCAAAGAGAAACTACAAAAAGTAGTTCAAAATGTTTTATTTATAAACTATTGGGTGGTAAATGTGAGAATTCATATTTTTTGTTGTTATTGTAATGAAGTGCAAGAGTTACTTGTAATACGTTCTTGATTAATTTGAATGTTGACATGTTTTCCCCCAAAAACACTTGTTTATAGCAACTCAAAATGGATTCATCATTCGTCAATTTGTAGCAACGTTCACTGATAGCATTCTTAATTTGTAGCAGCGTCTATCTGCTTATAATATGTTAAAGAAATGAGTACACTAGATCAAGTCTAACATCCATGGTTGTGAAAATTTCACATGACAGCATTGAAGAAAATGTGCTTTCATGTGACATGGAATTTTAAAGATATAAACAACAATATACACATTATCAAAACTTGAACTTCTAACACTTGGAATTTGGCAAAGTGACTAGACATGGCAAGGGCAAACATTTGTCCAACCCAACATCCTTTAATGGTATGCATGATATAGATAATTTTTAGCAATGTCAATGGTGCAAAACTACAACATATAAGGGACTCAGTTAACTAGTCTTGTTACCTTTTCTGGTCAACAGTTATTGTAATAACTTGTGAGACTACGACTGCTACATGAGCTTGCTTGGTTAGTCGGTTAGAAGGGGAAATTTCATAATAAGCTCATTTTTTTTCTCGTAAATATAGAAAATCTACTGTATTTGATCTCTCCATACTTTTAAAAAAGAAATTGAATTGGTGCAATCCATTAACGATATATTCACACAGCACACAGAAAATAAACAGAAACCGAAAGAAACTGGGCAAGCAAAAATTAGAAAAAAAAACCAAGAAGTGGCTTAAACCCACTTCCCAAGTATGAAAAATAAAATGCTAAAAACACTTTCAAGAATGCATAGGAAAAAAAACTGGTAGGACAAAAAAATCAAAAGAACAATGTATGACAACTACAAATTCGTCCACGCCTTCTTCTAGAAGAACTCGGCGAATCAAACAATTGAGTGCCTATAAAGCTTCTACCCATCAT